AGCGAACTGAGAGAGCGGGCCGAGCGGTATCTCGAGAGATACGACGAGATCGACCCGTGAGAGGAGCGAGGGAGAGAGGAAACAAAGAGATGAGAGATGAGCTGACGTGTTGGCGAAAGACAAGAGCGAGACGAGAGAGTGAGGAGGTGCTGATAAGAAGATGTCGAGAGAGAGAGAGGCGAAGATGGATGGAGGGTGTGAAAAGAGGAGGCGAGATGAGAGAGACGAGAGAGAGAGAGGATGGAGAGGAGAGTCGGAGGAGGAAGAGATCGAGAGTCAGAAGAAGAGGAGAGATGAGAGAGAGAGAGAAGAGAGATAGCTGAGCTGATGGAGCGGAGAGCGAGAGAGGAGAGAGAGAGAGAGAGAGGAGGAGTGAGAGACGGAGGAGAGAGAAGAGGAGAGAGACCTATGAGAGAGATAAGATGAGAGAAGAGAGAGAGAGAGAGTACTGAGCGGAGAAAGCCCCCCCCCCTCTCCCCCGCCTCGCATCTCGCGAAGCACTTGCAGCGACCTTGTTGCGGCGGCGGGCCGCCTCTTCGTCGTGAGCGAGGCGCTATATGCAGCGTGGGCCGTATATTGAGCGAGAGCTTGACTGAGCTTTGGAGCGCATTCTGCTGGTATCCTGTACAAGTTCCCCTGGTAGTGAGGCTTCGAGGAGGTGTGCGAGGAGAGGGAGTCACCAGACCAGAAGAAGAGAGAGAGATGGAGAAGAGGGGGGGAGAGAGGGAGCAGAGCAGAGAGAGAGACAGAGAGAGCACGACACACGGCCCACACACGCTGCCACGCTCACGCACGCACACGGCACGACGCACACGCACGCAGGGCGATTGACGTCGCGCAGCTACTGATGCGGTATTTACGTGTGCGATGCAAAAATCGGCGATCTGCTCTGACGTGGCGCCTCGCTCGCTTGTCTCGCGACTGTCTCCTCAGTCTCTCTCCTCTCTCTCTCTCTTTCTCTTTCTCTCTCCGGTCATATCGACGACATTACTTTCAATGTTTTTCGGGTTATATGCCCTACCGTATTTCTATATGTGACCGGCTCCAGCATAATACGGACTAAGTCGCAAATCATTGTTTTGAGTAATGAGCACGCACACCTGTCAATGCTGAAAATGGCCAACCTAGACAAAAATGATATTTTTACAAAAATAAGTTCCTAAGTGCATATTTAATTCGGATATATAGGTTCAGATATCTCTAGATTATTATGGTCATTTTAAATTTTTTAATTTTTTTTGTTTTAAACCGCTCATTGTTGATTTTTTTTTGATTGACCGCTCATCCTTGACTGGGCCCCCCCCCCTTACCCGGAACGCTTTATCTTAAAAGCTGCATATTCTGGAATAAATCGGTTTCCAATCTTTAAATTGCTGTAGATCAGTCAATTCTTTAGATATAGCCAAATATTATATATCATTTTAAAGGCAATTAAATGATCTATTCAGATATGCACATAACTCAATGTGTAAAATTTCCTACTTAATCCTGGTTTTGCTGCAGCGGGTCACATTTATGTTTTATGTAACTGGACATTGTTCTGAATTTCCTGTTCGACGGTCGCCGTCGCGTGGCGCCGCCACACCTACCTGTGTCTTACGTATCCTAAGGTCCGCCGAAGACTTATTCGAATGTTCTTCTTGTTCTATGTTCTGCTCGATAACTGAAACGAAAAGCCGAAACGGAAAAAAGTGACGCAGACGACGTGCCAGACGCGTGCGAATTTCGTTGAGTAGCCGGTCCCCCCGGCCCCCGTCGACTAATTAACCAGCAGGTAATTAAGCATGCAGGTGAAGGAAGGTATGCCGCTCAAAGTAATCACAAGCGTGAAATCCAATTACACTTTCATTAATTGTTAATAGGCGTCGTTATGTAAATATTACTCCCAAATGTAATCAAGTCGATAGGAAATTTCATCAGGTAACGAAGCACTTTAGAGTAGAATATTTAAAAGCGCGCAGCGCCGTTCCAAGAAACGTGCAAATTATTTTCCGTTAAGCAATATGCGCACTATGAAGTCACGACATGGACGCCGGATGTAATAAGAGAACGCGCGCGCATGCACCTACCCTTTAACGCGCGCATGCACCTACCCTTTAACTTTCCCCTAACTTTATTTGCTATCTTTTTAATTTCTGCCATCAGTTCTTCCAACTCTTCCTTGTCCTCTGCAAGTAAGTAAACAAAGTGTCACTTCACGCAAAGATGCGGAATTGAAATCATGATGCAAAACCGGGAGAGCAAAAGGGAGGAGGAGAGCGAGAGATGAGGATGAGACGGGGTGGAGGAACTAGTAAAAGGAAGGAGGACAGTGGAAGGATTTGGGTGGGAGGAGAGTGGAGGAACCAGTAAAAGGGAGGAGGAGAGTGAGAGGATGAGGATCAGAGGGGGGTGGAGAAACCAATGTGCCATTAGAATAGACAAGCCAGTAACTTCTTTCGGAAGCCTGCGGCGGTATGGAAAGAAGATTTTCGGACACACTCACCTGTGGAACCGATGCTTATGTCCAAAGTGGAGATTTACACGAGATTAAAGTGGCATTATACGCGAAACTAATACGTAAAAATTGAGTAACACATAGTTAGCACATAGATTTTTCTGTTGTTTATGATTGTTGTTTATGATCCCTAAATAATACATTAAAATGCCCATAGAATTACGTCATAGGCATTTCTACATTCCAGGCTTCCAGCTGGTTTGGTAAACCGGACGGGGGCAATGTCTTTGTTGGACGATAATTAGCTGGAGATTAGATAGATTTGAACACGGTTTTCTAGCATCCCATCGTCACTCCCAGCTCATATGAGCATCCCAGCCCCCGCTCACCTCCGTGGTGCATCCCACACCCTCCACTCACGCTCCCCGTGCATCCCACACCCTCCCTCACCTCCCGCGTGCATGGTCCCACACCCTCACCCTCACGCTCCCGCGTGCGATCGCACACCCCCTCCCCTCATCCCCCCGCGTGCATCCACACCCTCCCTCACTCCCGCGTGCATCACACCTCCCTCACCTCGTCCCGCGTGCATCCCACACCCTCCCCCTCACCTCCGCGTGGCATCCCGCACAACCCTCCTCCCCTCCGCGCGCTGCATGCCCACTCCCTCTACCCCTCACCTCCCGTGTGATCGCCACAACGCTCACGCTCACCTCCCCGCGTGCATCGCCACAACCCTCGCCGATTCACCTCACCGCGTGGCATCCCACAACCTCCCTCACCTCCCGCGTGCATCCACCACCCGCTGCCCCTCACCTCCCGCGTGCATCCCACACCCTCCCCTCACCTCCCGCGCTGCATGCGCCACACCCTCCGTCACCCCCGCGTGCATCCCGAGACACCTCGCCCTCACCTCCCGTGTTGCATCGCCACACCCTCGACCCTCACCTCACGTGTGCATCCCACACCTCCCTCACCTCCGCGTGGCATCCCAACACCCGTCGCTCCCCCTCACCATCCGCTCGTGCATCCCAACACCCTCCCCCTCACCTTCCGCGTGGGCATTCAACCCTCCCCTCACCTCCGCGTGGCATCCCACACCGCCTCCCCTCACCGTCCCGCCGTGCAATCCCACACCCCTCCCTTCACCTTCCGCGCGTGCATGCCGCACACCCCTCCCCTCACTCCCGTGTGCATGGCCCACACCCTCCCCACACTCACGTGTGCATCCCACACCCTCCCTCACCTCACGCGTAGCATCCCACACCTCCCCACACCTCCCGCTGTGGCATCCCACACCTCCCCCTCAACGCTCCCGCGTGCATCCCCACACCATCCCCTCACCTCCCGCGTGCACTCCCAACAGCCCTCCCCTCACCTCCCGCGTGCATTCCCACACCCTCTCCCTCACTCTCCCTGTGCGTGCAATCCCACACCCTCCCCTCACCTCGTGGCATCCCACACCCTCCCCTCACCTGCACCCGTGTGCATCCCACCACCCTCTCTCCCTCACGCTCGCCGCCGTGGATCCACACCACTCCCCTCCCTCACCTCCCTTCCGCGTGCATGCGCACACCCTCCCCTCACACGCCGCGTGCATCCACCCTCCCCTGCACCTCGACCGCGTGCATCCACACCCTCCCCTCACCTCCCGCGTGCAATCCCACACCCTCCCCCTCACCTCACCGCGTGGCATCCCCACACCTCCCCCTCACCTCGCCGCGTGCATCCCACACCCCCCTCACCTCCCGTGTGCACCCACACCCTCCCGCTCACCGTCCCGCGTGCATGCCAACACACTCCTCACCTCCCCGCCGTGCATTCCACACCCTCCCTCACCTCACGCGTGCATCCCACACCCTCCGCTCACTCCCGCGTGTACCCAGTACACCTCCCCTCACCTCCGCGCCGTGCAATCCGCATCATCCCACCCTCCCCCACCTCCCGCGTGCCATCCCAACACCCTCGCCTCACCTCGTTGGTGCATCCCACACCTCCTCCTCACCTCCAGCGTGCATCCCAGTCACCCTCCCCTCACCTCCGCGCGTGCATCCACAACCCTCCTCACCTACCGCGTGCGCATCCGCAGGCCCCCTCCCAGGTTCCTCACCCTCCCGCGTGCTCCCAACACCCTTCCCCTCACCTCCGCGTCATCCACACCCTCCCACCTCCCAGCGTGCATCCCACACCCTCCCCCACCTCCGCGTGTGCATCCCACACCTCCCTCACCTCCCCGCGTGCATCCCACCACCCTCCCCTCACCTCCCGCGTGCATCCCAGCACCCTCCTCCCGTCCCGCGTGCCATCCCACACCCTCCCCTCACCTCCGCGCGTGGCATCCCACACGCCTTCCCCTCCCCTGCAGCCTCCCGCGGCATCCCACACCCTCCCCTTCACCTCCCGTGGCACCCCACACCCTCCGCCTCACCTCACCTCCCGCGTGCATCCCACACCCTCCCCTCACCTCCCGCGTGCATCCCACACCCTCCCCTCACCTCCCGCGTGCATCCCACACCCTCCCCCTCACCTCCCGCGTGCATCCCACACCCTCCCTCACCTCCCGCGTGCTCCCACACCCTCCCGCTCACCTCCCCGTCGTGCATCCACACCTCCTCCCTCACCTCCCACACCCTCCCCTCCACCTCCGCGTGCATCCCCACACCCTCCCCTCACCTCCCGCGTGCATCCACATGCCCTCCCCTCAACGCTCCCCGTTGCATCCCACAAGCCCTCTCACTCCCGCGTGCATCCGCACACCTCCCCTCAAGCCTCCCGCGTGGCTATCCAACACCTCCCCTCACCTCGCCGCGTGCATCCCCCCTCACCTCCCGCGTGCATCCAGCATCCATGCCCTCCCTTCCATACCTGACGCTCCGCTCAACTGCATACACACCCACGCACCCACACACGCATGCCACGCACGGCACACACCACGCACGCACGCACGGCACACAGCTCCTTCTGCTATCAGGGTGGGCACCCCCGAGGCCCAGTCTGCTTCTGTCGGCCGATGTTGCAGCAGCCGAAACCTAGANGACGTTTACATCAATCTGGGTGCCTCGTTCCGTCGGCCGCAACGAGGCTTCGCGAGGCTGGGACGCCGGCCGGGGCGACCGTCGCCGGCACGTGCGCGCACAACCTGTGTGCGCATTCTCCTGCGTCCGGCTCGACCGGAGGCGGGAGGATTGCGGGTGCTCGTCGCGACCACGTGCGCGCCACCTGTATGTGCGTCGGCGGAGGGATACGTAAACTGTGGTTTGTTGCGTCCGCGGACAGAGGGCGCTGTGCTTGCGTCTTCACCTCTTCCGTTCGCCTGAATCTTCTCGATATTGCCCCGTATTTCGTCGACCTGGCGAGGAAAAAAAAAGAAGAAAACTTTATAATCAAACACACGATCTTTCGATTTCGCAATCGATCACATGTAATGACAATGAACCCTTGACGAGAGAGAGTTCGCCGATAGATCAGACGCGAGAGAGAGCAGAGCGGGCAGAGCAGCAGCAGAGAGCAGAGAGCGAGAGAGCAGACACGAGAGACGCATGCCAAGCGAGATTGAGAGAGCAAGCGAGATTGAGAGAGAGAAAGCAAGCGAGAGAAAGAAAGAGCGAGCATGAGAGAAAGCAAGCGAGATTGAGAGAGAGAAAGCAAGCGAGAGAGCGAGAGCAAGTGAGAGAGAGAGACGCGCGCACGGAGCCGCCGTATGAATTTCAATATAGCGATGAAATCTAATAGACGACGCACTCTCGCCGGCTCCTCGACATTACTTGAGCATCATCGCCCCTCCTCCCCCAGCCCTCCTCTCTCCCACTCCTCCCCCAGCCCTCCTCTCTCCCACTCCTCCCCAGCCCTCCCTCCTCTCCTCTCGCCCCTAGTCCTTTCTCCCCCCTTCCTCTCCTCTCCCTCCTCTTTCCACTCTCCCTCCGCCCCCAGCCCTCCTCCACCAGCCCTCCCTCCTCTCTCTCCCAGCCCTCACTCCTCTTCCGTCAACCCTCCCTCTCTCCCCTCCTCTTCTCTTCCTCCTCTCTCCCCCTCCTTTCCTCTTTCCCCCTCCTCTCCACCCTTCTTCCTCCTCCCCAGCCCTCCTCTCCCCTTTCTCTCCGTGCGGCGTGCCGGCGAATATTTGCGCGTGTGTCGCCGCGTTATTTGCTTTGATATTCAGTGGAATCGTCGTCAAGTGCCCGCCACCGCCGCCGCCGCCGCCGCCGTCACCACCGCCGTCACCACCGCGACTCAAACCGAATAAAACGCAACGCAAAGCGACGGAGGCGTCGCCGATGGCAACGCGTGACGACAGCGCGGCAGGCGAGCAAAGCTGCAAGGGGGCGCTAGTCGCGGAAAAAAAAATGGCGCGGTGACGGACTCTGACTCCGGAACAAAAATCGACAAAAAAATATAGCAAGGCTGGGAGTAACAAATCGATCTTGCATAGCAATAGTAGGATGGAGATATAATGCAGGAATCAGGAGCAACTGCTGTTACGACAAAGCCCTGTCACGGCGATCAAACCAGGGGGGTGCTAGTTGCGTAAAACAGTGGGGCGACGGTGCAAGTCTACCCGCCCTCCCTCCAGCAAGTAAAGGTGGCGTACGTCCCTCGGCAAAGAATACTGCTTTGCAAACAGCGAGCCTTTCATCGAAACAATGAAGCATATTAACATAATGGCGAGAACCTGGTAGCTGGTGGAACTGCAGCACACCAGAGACAAAACAACATTCGCCGTTCGCTTGTT